ATATTACTCAGCCATTAAAAAGAATTCATTTGAATCAGTTCTAATGAGATGGATGAAACTGGAGCCCATTATACAGAGTGAAGTAAGCCAGAAAGATAAACACCAGTACAGTATACTAACGCATGTATATGGAATTTAGAAAGATAGTAATGATAACCCTATAGGCAAGACAGAAAAAGAGACACAGATGTATAGAACAGACTTTTGGACTCTATGGGAGAAGGTGAGGGTGGGATGATCTGAGAGAATAGCATTGAAACACGTATATTATCAAGTGTGAAACAGGTTGGAAGCATGAGACAAGTGCTCAGGGCTGGTGCACTGGGATGACCCAGAGGGATGGATGGGGAGGTAAGTGGGAGGGGGGTTCAGGATGGGGAACATATGTAAATCCATGGCTGATTCATGTCAAAGTATGGAAAAAACCACTGCCATATTGTAAAGTAATTAGCCTATAACTAATAAAAAATAAAGGAAATAAAAAGTTAAGCTATTCATTTGGGGCAAGCATTTCATCAATATGCTAACAAAATGATATTTTCAGATACCCATTGATGGTGTATATATCATCACTGATTTATAGTTACTAAAATTGAAAATAGACATTTTAGTTTGTATAAGTTGGGAAGAATACTAATTATCATCCAAGCATTGAGATTTCAAACAGTCTAAAGTCATAGAACTCCTCTTGAAAGGAAGGCATACATGAAATCACCAAAAAAGAAAAAAAAAGAAGTCACTGCTTGAAGATATACATAGACAATTCTTCATGAAGACGTACAGATGGCCAAAAGGTACATGAAAAAATACTCAACATCACTAATTATTAGAGAAATGCAAGTCAAACTACAATATGTTATCTCCCTTACAGCATCAGAGGGGCCATCATCTACGTCTACAATGCTCTGAGGCTGTGGAGAAAAGGGAACCCTCCTCTACTGTTGGTGGGAATGTAAATTGGTGCAGCCAATATAGAAGACTATATGGAGTTTTCTTAAACAGCTAAAAATAGAGCTACCCTATCACTTAGCAATCCCACTTCTGGGCATATATCTAGAAAAAGTTAAAGCTCTAATTTGAAAAGATACATGTACCCTGATGTTCATAGCAGTACTATTCATAATGGCCAAGACATTATATTAACCTAAATGTCTGTTGACAGATTAATGAAGAAAGCAAATGTGGTACATGTATACATACCATGGAATATTACTCAGCCAGAATACTGAGTATTCTGTACTACTCAGAAATAATATTATCTATAACAATATGTATGGATCTAGAGATTATCATACTGAGTGAAGTAAGTCAGACAAATATGTGATACTAACTTATATGCAAAATCCGGACAATAATACAAGTGAGCAGATGAATAGAAACAGGCTCATAGACATAGAAAGCGAAGTTTTTACCAAAGTTTTGGTGGGACAGATCAATTAGGAGATGGGATTATCAGATCCACACCAGATAAACAAGGGCCTGCCTACTGTAGTAGCATAGGAACAGTATTCAATATCTTGTAATAAACTATAATGGAAAAGAATAAAATAGAATATAGATATACACATGCTCACGTGTTCTGTCATGTCTAATTTTCTGCAACCCCATGGACTGTAGCATGCCAGGCTCCATTGTCTGTGGGGTTTCCCAGACAAGAATGTTGGAGTGGGGTGTCAGTTCCTCCTCCAGGGAATCTTCCCTACCCAGGAATCAAACCTGTGTCTCCTGCTTAGCAGACACATTCTTTACCACTAGTGCCACCTGAGAAGCCCAGATAAATAGATAGATACCTGTATAACTGAATCACTTTGCTGTATACCTGAAATTAACAGAATATTGTAAATCAATTATCCTTCAATAAAACAAACAAACAAAAGATGGGGCCAAGTCCTCTCTACTGTCCTTTACTGACTGTTGAACTTTAGGTTGTTTCTAATTCTTTATGTAAATAATAGTGTAAGCAACACTCTTCTTATATAAAACTTTGCTTGTATTTTTTTTTCTATGTCAGATTTTATTATTCCCAAATTAAATGAAAGGGAATATACTTCCTCAAGTGCAATTAGGTCCTTGTTTCATCTGCTTTAATCTCTAATTTTCTTCAGACTCCTTTCTAGAAAGTTCCATGTGTGTTTAATTGGGCATGGGGTTTAATTTTCACCACTCTCTCAGAGCTTTGTACCTTCATCTTGCTTGATGGGAGGAAAACCCAAGTATCTCACAGGCCCCAGAGAAGGAAATGAGTCTCTCAAGGGAAAATGACCAAGATGGAGATGGGAGAGACAACAGGGCAGCTAAACCAACAAGAAACAGGAGTCAGGAAAGAAATTAACAGCAAAATGTATTTAAAAACAGGCTTCTCCAGTTAGCATTTTGAATGAAATAGCCAACAGTTAACTCCAACCTGTTGTATTGTGTCTATGCTCCTGGAGTTCTCTTGAAGCTGTAATTCTTGAAATTCTGGCGGCAGCGCCAGATATAAATCTCCTAAGAGAGAGGTATTATTAAACCTTTTCGTGGTCACTTTTTTCTCAACACAAATGGACAAATTCTTAAGCTCTGTTACCCATTTCGGCTTCCCTGGGGCTCAGTCAGAAAAGAATCCACCTGCAATGCAGGAGATCTGGGTTCGATCCCTGGGTTGGGAAGATCCCCTGGAGGAGGACATGGTAACCCACTCCAGTATTCTTGCTTGGTGAACCCCCATGGACAGAGGAGCCTGGTGGGCTGCAGTCCGTGGGATCTCAAAGAATGGGACCCTGTCTCTTCTCTGCTACTCTTCCTGTCCAGGACTGGCAGGGCACCCCCTGCCCTCCTGGATACAGCCTGGCTAAAATATGAGGTGTGGTGACCCCTTATGGGGACATGAAACAACCAGCTTCTCAAAGACACAGCACAATCCCTGTTGTGCCTGCAGTGCAGTAATTCCATCTCTTTTCCTGGTCTGTCTGGATGAAAAGCTCTTTCTGACAGACAGTATTATCAGATTTCTGAGTGTATTTCCTTTATAAGCATCCCCTGCTTTCCAAAAGATTAGCCTCTGCAAATAAACTGTGATGTGAGACCTAGATTGTCTATGCTCTATGCCATTTTGATTTGCAAAATTTTCATAGGAACACTGTACATTCTGGTGGCAGGAAACACCTGTATTTCCTCATGTCTCCTTACTCCAGCTATGATATTATTACATGAGAAGAGAAAGAGAAAACTGTGGA